ATCGATAAGAAGAAGATTCACCGACCCGTACAAATCTCCCTCCACCGTCAGTCGCAGCAGCACTCAATTTCACGTTACTGGCATACGCGTACGTCTGTGCCTGCGAGTTGGGCAAATTATGGTACGAATACGCGACTTCATCATCACTCTATTAGTCTTCCTCGAATCGAGTCGAGGGTCCATCACGACACAGCCTTGTCATTCATCGCCATAAAGCACTGCTCACCGGTACCTTACAACAGCACAATTTTACATTCCTCCTTTTCCCCTAAGTATCACTTTGGGCCGTCTTCGAGGTCGGCACTAAGTTGTTGACCCTCATACTATCTGCATTCCATTCTTGCACCTGCCACAATCATAACTCCATCACTCGGCAGGAGCCACCTTACCACTTTCCCCACGTTCAAGTCCATACAAAGGACCTTATCAGCATCAGTCGGATCAGCTGAGAACAGAACACCCTAGACGCCACTGGCCCTCTATCACGAGTGCTCACAATGATCAAGGAGGAGCATCTTGTTGTCTCCCTCGTGCATCATGCAAGCCGTCGGGCAAACGCCTTCACCCCTGTGTAAAATCTAAGGAGGATACATGGACTATCATCCCAACGAATACGATATCGCTCCAAAAGGACCAAGGATAGAAACCACACATAGTGGAGGCAGAATAGATGATCGAATTGACAAGCCCAAACTACATTGTTAATTTGTGTAACTTGCTCCAGTCCGTCAGCATCCATCCTCAGAACCTGTCCACAAAAATACCATCGCATAGTTTCGAACCAGGATCACCACATAGAAAACCCAACCTCCTAACGCACTGACCTACATTCATGTTCGCACCTCCACCGACTTCATGTCTGGCTGCCTGCCTCCTGTTCATCACCTACCACCTCTCATCCCATCAACTACAACAACATCATCCCCACCTTAGTCCGCCATACGAATGCCCTATCTCCTCCTACTCTCTTCGACGTGCCCATCAACTTGTTGCTTTCCACTCCTGCAGTCCGTGCACCCTACCAATATGCTATCTGGCAGACCCCCACGACCACATCGATCACTACTTGCTTCCCAGGGTATGTCTTCACTGGCGAACTGCCGTATTCATCATCACTCGACCAGGCATCCGAGGACGAAGATGAGGATGCCTCCACCTCCTCTGCAAAAACAACCTCCGCACAACGAACGAAAAACGGACAATAAATACCGCTTCGCTCCGCTAATTCATTGCCATTTTCAACGTCATAGAACTCCTCCGCTTTCTCGGCCTTGCCGGGGACTGAAGACGGGGCGTGTCGTGTTGAATACCCACATTAAGCAGTGACGGATAAAACCCTCCTCACGAGACGGGAGTCCTCGACACATTTCGGACAACCATCGACTTCTGAGGAAATATCGAGTCGGATGGGTTTTACTTTTCTTTTTCAAACGGCGTTCAGCCTGGACCTTGTCCAGAGCACCACAGAGGGAGGCGAAGGCCGCATGAGTCGGACCTAGACTATACAAGTACCAGCGTGCACGCGTGCCCATGGAGCATACACTCTATTGCCAGTACTGGAGTCTTGGAAGATAGTGGAGAGAAGCCCAAGAACCTGACATGGAGGGATATGCCTTTCTTAAGCAAGGTACGATAAGTGAGAAACTCGAAGTTCTTCCAAGATTCGAACCAGAGACCTTTCGGATGCGAAGCAACACCTCTAACCAACGGCACTGAAATAACTCACATGATTTTCGGCCATTCATATTTGAAGCCAAGGCCAGCAGTGATGGCACCGCTGTAGAGTAGGCTATCATCGGCCTCTAAGAATAATGACCAACTTTTCGCGCGCCACAAAAATGATTATGCTACGGTCGAATATGACTAGATGAGCTTCAAAGTCCTTCCTCTGAGTGACCATCACCATCACTGAGTTGTCATGCCCAAGCGACGACCATTCCCCCGGACCTGACCAGTTACCACATCGATGCGCATGCGTGCAAACTCCAACTGACACTCAGTGACGTCACCCACACACGATTTACCCTCTCTAGCCATCATACTCAAGCCATCGATTTGCACCACAATCGTCGACTCAGCCTGGCCTAGCATCTCTACTTTCCTGAAAGCATAAGTCAACCACAAACAGTCGAGTGAGGCCCGAGGGCTTCTTACCTCACGAATTCGTTCACTGCTTCTTCATTTCGGAATTTGAGGCCCCATTCGCTCATGTTGTCGCTCTTGGTGACCACCTGCCATAGTAACAATGCTGATGTCCTCGCCTCACTGATGATGCTACTATCCACTGCACGCACGGATAGCCGTCGTCGGGATCGTCATAACGCTGTACGTTGACCATCTGCTGTGCCTAAGATCGTTGCACACACTTCAATGTTGATCACCACAAACATCTACATTGAAGACTTCTTCCACTCCTTCCTCCTCTTGCGTGACATACATTTTCCTCAAGGCCTCATCAAAGGTTACGCTGCATAACTAAGGACCCTACGGTGTTGATAACGCCAATACAAGGCCTTACCCCATCGGCAAGACTCGTCCACTCCCCACCATCTAAAACGAAGAAATCCCCCTTGAGCAAGTCGAGGGCACACTCAGTGACGGCCTGGCGGTTAGAGGGATTCTCAAGACCTGTCATGAAGATACGAGAATGAGGGCAGTCCGATAGTATGGCCACCACCGGCCGAGTCGTCATCAGAGGACTCCTCCTCAACTTTACTCGCAGTAGGACGACCGAAGAGGTTTTTAACTATTGAGAACATCGTTAATTGTAAAGTAGGATACTATGAGAAAAGAAAGTACACCTGAGGGACTGTATAAATATGACAGCACTATGGCTCAACAACATGGACATTAACTAGGACATCAGTAAGGATGATGTTGAGCGAAGTTTGCACGCATGCACAAGGATCTTGCGTGCAAGTTTTGACTCTTAACCATTTTGACTCCTAACGTTCATTGAAACAATTCAGAATCTATTCTAGAATCGATTCTGAGTTTCGAAATCGGTTTATTGTACGACCCCAATAGTCTGATCAGTACACACCGGGTATTTGATAAACCTATTATAATCGATACCGGAGCTGACTTCGCGAAGACTTATCTCTGAGAGAGAGTTATGAGCCAGCCGATAGTGGGAATGATTTCCTAAGCGATTCTGGAATCGTTTCTGAGTATGTTCAGAGTGTGCAATCGAAGTCGGATTTTCCCGTCTGGCAAATGGGTAGTCAAGACCGACCACAATACTGTGTCGTAGGGCTGGTTTGACTTGGAAAGTCAACAGAATTGTCAATTTGACAATGATACTGCACAAAATTTCCCATCAAAGGAAGTTCTCCTCTTATCTCAATGATGATTGCTATACAAGAATAATCTTCAGCGTGGTGTAGTCTAAGAGGTCGATCAATAAACCGATTTCGAAACTCATAATAGATAAAAATAAATCGCTAATAATCTAATAAATCGCTTCTCACACGTATAATACTATGCTAGAATCGATTCTGAGTTCCAGAATGGATTCAATGAACATGGGGTAAGGGTGAGTAAACCATTGGAGTTATTTCAGAATCGTTCATAGACGCGTTCACGAGAGCCCTCGCATGATTCTGGTATAGTCAAATCGGCGCTATCTCGCAACACATGACAGAACGCAGAATCTGTTCAAGATCTTGCTTTCTCAACTTCAGAGAGTGTCTCATACTCACACTGTGTGTTCCATAGACCTCTTTTGAGCTTCAAGAGCGCTTCTGGGATTGCATTACACATGTTAAGCTTCATTCTGGAAGCGCTCTCATTGCTCAGGAGAGGTGCATTGAACACGCCGACAGTACTTCAGTTATTGCACGCACGCACAGTTTCTACGTATGCACAGGGAAAATCTCGCTCGCCCTAAATTAAAGCTTCTGGCCGGCCGCGAAAACCCTTTGTAGTTACATTGCTTTCCTCTGTTTGAGATTACAATTCTGTCATAGAGGGCAACAATAAAGTAAAGAAGTGGAAGGCGAAGACCATGAGGACTGAAAGTCGGCAGGCTAGGTCTTCGGAACGCGATCGATTGAAATTACCTCCCATTTCACAACACGGCAACAGATTAGCTGCAGTAACAGACACTCTAGTAGGAATACCTCACAATCGTTCTCCCTCAGAGGTCGGGTCCAGTGGGCCACATCTCAATGGGAGCTCCCTCTGCCGAGGGCATGGAAGCCATACACGCGACATACAGGAAAATCGGCACGCTCGGTCACGGCTCGTTTGGGAAGGTCTATCTAGTGCTCCACTCACCCTCTAAGGAGCTCAGGGTGAGTCCGGCGGTTATGAAGAGTACAGCGGCATATGTGTGGTGAGGTACTCAAGCAAATGGATGTTGACGGAAGCAAAATATCCGAAAATAAAGACCCACGAAAGGAGGCGCTCAGGGTGAGAGAGGATGTCGGGTGGCGGGATCGAACCTGGGACCTCTGGGTTAGCGGTCTAACGCTGTTCTCTCAGGAAGCCTGGGTGTTGAAGAAGATGAATCATCCCTTCATTGTAAAAATGACCTTCGCTCCGCTCACCCACTCTATGCATGCATCGACCTTAGATATCCTATCACGATGTCTTCGTGACACCCAGACAGAAAATGTGTATAGTTATGAGCTACGCAGATTGTGGTGATTTGCACACGTAAGGAGAGCTCACTGTGGCAGCTTCCTACGACCACTCGGTCAGTTTTTTAAAGCGTCGCAGAGGCCTATTGGCAGAAGAGGAGGTCCTCAGGATGTTCACGCAGCTCTGCCTAGCGCTCGATCATGTCCATCAACAACGAGTCATTCACAGGTAAGGGCGGCGTCGCGGTTTCAAAGGAGCGATCCGTACTGTTCAGAGACCTCAAATCACAGAACGTATTCCTCCATGGCATTCATCGAACGGTCAAACTGGGAGACTTTGGAATTAGCCGCGTATTAGAGCAAACACGAGATCTCGCACGCACCATGGTTGGTGGTTCCCATCGCTAACGGTCGTCGCAGCGTTGTGCGCCTTGCGATCAGGTCGGGACGCCCTATTACCTCAGCCCAGAGATCATCATGGAACAGCCCTACGGCTTCAAGTCTGATATTTGGTCGATGGGTGAGTCTTGTCAGTATAACGATGACGATAAATTGCCATCGATGCACCTCGTTCTGATGAACTTACGCAGTGTAGGGGGAAAAGATGTGCATGGCAGCCAACTGCATGTGTCAGTGACAATATAGAACTTTAAAGGGAAATATTTGTTTCTGAACACTTCTACCCGAATTCGTATATGAACTCCTATATCCAGCGAGGAAACTTCCGAGTTCAGCTGAGGAGAGCGAACATAAGTCCCTCACTGAAATTAGCCTCATAACCCTGGATGTTTGCTCGCGAGGAAAACAGCTCAGGTGTGATCCTATACGAGATGCTCACTCTGAGACATCCCTTCGATGGGAGGAACATACAGCATCTGGCTATGAGAATCCTCAACCTTAAGTTCGACGATCCGGATAAGACGAAATACTCCGCCGAATCGGTACGATGGCAGTAGCGGCCTCACGCGCTGAGTAGCATGTGTTCTATTGGCAGTGTGAAATGGTGAGGATGTTACTTACTCGTGAATCCGAGAAACGCCCAAGTTGCGATGATATTTTGAATACTCAGCTCCTGCGAGGATATGTTCTCCGGGTGAGTCCACGAGGAGGGGATGCAGTGTGTTGAAGGTCAGCATCAGGAACTCGACAAATGCAAGGAGTTGGACTATAAACTACGCGACTCGGAAGGTGAGTGGACGACAGGTCCTAGTGTGCCCCACCATCGTATCGGGATCATACTACTGCTACGTTTTCTGTCTCCTTGTCAGTTGAAGTGCGGTCGAACAAGAATGTGAAGTTGCCGGCTCTACAGAACCGTCCGACTGGATTCGTAGCACGAATACGAGGCCTGACTAAGTGAGACTCCCTTTCACACGGCTAGGGTTCCAAGGAGAGTTCCCCACCATATCTCAGCGCTGCGCGGCAATCACTGAGTCGGCCCTTCCAACGTCGCAATGCGCGAGCGCTCTCGCCGATGCCGGAAGAAGAAACGCGGTGAGTCAAAGGCGGCCTCATACTATGCGGTGTGGGAGCATATGCACATAGTCAACTGCATGTGTTGGTGACAATATGAAAAAATGAAGTGAGACTCTTGAGATTCTTATTGGTTTCTGAACGCTTCTACCCTAAGTCGTATATGAACTCCTACGACTAGTGAGAGGGCTTCTCAGCTCAGCTGAGGAAAGCGAACATGTGTCCATCTAACACTGATCTTATGTTGGTCACTTCCATCTGTTTCCATCACGCGCTGGTAGATACTATGAGAAGAGGCACCACAAGTTACCGCCTATCTTGCCGTCACCAGTCACCAATCCTCATGAAGA